TCCTTCCTTCCTTCCTTCCTTCCTTCCTTCCTTCCTTCCTTCCTTCCTTCCTTCCTTCCTTCCTATGAGTAACTCTTCCTTAACGATAAATAAATAAATACTAACCAGTAATCCACAGAGCTCTCCTGTTAGTTCATCCGCCGTCTTGGACGCTGACCATTACAGGGGAGGGTTTAAGTACTCTGATGTGGCATCCCAGCCACCAGTCCAAGAGAAACGCTGCGGAAGATATGAGAGAGAGAGAGAGAGAGAGAGAGAGAGAGAGAGAGGCTGTCTACAAAACTGCACACACGCTCTCCTTGTTTTGTTTTGCAGTGACACGCAAGCCGCAGAAGGATCCAGTGCCGCAGTAGACGGCGCGGCAGAAGAGGCGGGCGTAAGTTGGCGTCATCTTACAGTTGGCCGTTCTCAAGAGGAAGCAAAATCTTCCTTCTCTTTTTAATGCTGCTGGTGGCCGGGTAAACATTTCTTCCATGGGGTGGCGGTTGGTGATCCTGAAGTTTGTTACCGATGTCTCTGATACAGATGACCCAGCCCCCGTTCTCACCCTCACAGTCCGCAAAAACCCGTCTCTTCTCAATCCGCAGGAAACACAAACGGCCTCCTCCGACAGCGCCTCTCGCTCTAGTGAGACGGACAACTCGGATCCCGTCGATTCCCGGGAGGCAGAAAGCCCTGACACTGAGACGAACGAGTCCGATATCGCGGAAGATGTTCAGCAGACCGTGGTGGATCTGGGCGTGGCGTGTACTCCCGACAAGGATGTCCGGGGGACAGAAAGTCTTGACGCGGAGAAGAACGAGTCCAATATCACAGAAGAGGCTCAGCAGACCACGATGGATCTGGGAGGAGAAGGTGTGATGTGCAGCCCTGAAAAGGATATCCGGGGGCCACAAAGTCCTGACACTGAAAAGAACAGGTCTGATATGGCAGAAGAGGTTCAGCAAACCACAATGGATCTGGGAGACGAGGGTTCGTTGTGCAGTCCTGAGAAGGACTTCGGGGGAACAGAAAGCCCTAACGCTGAAAAGAACGAGTCTGATATGGCAGAAGAGGTTCAGCAAACCACAATGGATCTGGGAGACGAGGGTTTGTTGTGCAGTCCCGAGAAGGATTTCCGGGGAACAGAAAGTCCTAATGCTGAAACGAACGAGTCTATTATCGCAGAAGAGATTCAGCGGACCACGATGGATCTGGGAGACGAGGGTTCGTTGTGCAGTCCCGAGAAGGATGTCTGGGGAGCAGAAAGTCCTGATGCTGGAAAGCACAAGTCCGATATGGCAGAAGAGGTTCAGCAGACCACGATGGATCTGGGAGACGAGGGTTCATTGTGCAGTCCTGAGAAGGACGCCCTGTTCGAAGGGGCTTCCTTTCAGGGTGAAGAACACCACACCCCAGCCCGGCAAACAGGTAGACTTGCCCATGATGCTTTACATCGGGGTCAGTGTTCCCTCTAAGCTGAGTGTGAGCTAGCTCACAGTTCTTTAGCCTCCAGCTCACACATTTTTGTCTTAGCTCAGGAAGGGCTGTTCTGATTGCTGGGATAAGTTTAAACAAATAATGATTTATTTATAGAAGAAAAAATAGGTTTCTGGGTATTTTGAACTGTTGCTGAAGAAAGGAAGTTGTAAATATAACTGGCAAAGCTTGGTGTCACATACAGTCTCTCAAACTCCACAACTCCACTCTGACAGGCTTAGACACTCAGTCTAATCTCTCTCTCTCTCATATATATATATATATATAGCCACACAGGCTAAACTCTTTGTCTTATTCATACAGAATAGACTCAGACTCCCATAGTCACACAGACTACGCTCTCTCTTCAACCTTCACACACAGAATCTCCTCATAGACACCCCTCCCCCCACACTCTCAGTCATCAGCCAGTCACATCACACTTGTCTCCCTCTCCTTACATTATTGCAGTCACACTAAAGATTTAAAAAAACACACACACCAAAACAAGAAATCATTACAGTGGCTTTGAAACTTGGTTTTTATTATTGTTGTATTTGTATCGTAACCCGCCTTGAGAGCGCACCATAAGGTAGAAGGGGCAGCCAGTAAATGTTTTGAGTAAATCAGCCATTGAGATCGTCCTCAGAGGCCCTTTTTTTGTGCCCTGGGAGGTGCGACGTCCGACTCCACAGTTCCCTTCCCATGATCAGCAGCACTTTCCCCGGCACGAAATGTCCCTGACTCAAGAGGCTCGACCCTCTTGCATCAGGAGGAAGGCTCTTTAGGACAGGCACTGCTAGCCACTGATTGCAGATGAGGTCCTCAGAATCCAGCCCAAGGTCTTCTCTGTGGTGGCACCACACCCGTGGCCCATCCACAGACAGACTCGGCCGCAATCTTCCTTGGCTAGTGTATGGATGCAGTTCATATATATGGACGCGGTTCGAAATAGCACTAATCCCCACGGAAACCTGATCTTGTTTTCCAGGCCCACTCCTCGATGACTCCTCCTGCAGCAGCGGGACCCCAGTGGGCAAGGTGAGTTGGTTTGGAAGAGCCTGATTGGGTGTGGGATTGTCTGGGCGACGGGGAGACTCCTCCAGTTGCGTCGAATAATTTGATCCCCCTGCTGTTGCACTTGGAAAAAGGAGTGGGGAAGTCATCTGGAACCAAATAGTGATTTCTACGCCCTTGGCAAGTCAGGGATCAGTCCCTGGTTGACTAAGGTGATCCAGATCCAGCACGGCTTTGGTGTCGTGGTTAAGTCTGGTGCAGTGGTTAAGTGCGCGGACTCTAATCTGGGAGAGCCAGGTTTGATTCCCCGCTCCTCCACTTGCACCTGGCTGGGTGACCTTGGGCAAGCCATAGTTCTGATAAGAGCTGTTCCTGAAAAAGAGCAGTTTGTGTTAAGAGCTCTCTCAGCCCCACCGACCTCACGGGGTGTCTGTTGTGGGGAGGGGAAGGGAAAGGAATTTGTAAGCCGCTCCGAGACTCCTTTGGGTAGTGAAGGGCAGGGTATAAATCCAATATCTTATGTTCTTAAGTCGAATTTTGTACAGCATGGCTCGCTTCCAAGGTGTGGAAGCTTTGAATTAAAAAAATGGTTGGCCTCCGACCGCTCCAATCCCCACAGCCTGAAGCTTTCCTGCAGCCCGGGCTCCTCCCACCGACAGGGCGACGCCCTTTTCCTCCGCATTCTTTACAGGGGCATAAAAAGACAACAATAAATTAACAGTCCGATGGCGGTAGAACTGCCACAGTATACCGCTACCTGGGAGGGGGGCAGGAGGAGTGGGAGCGCCAGCCAGATGGAGAACGGTCGCTGTCCTCAACCAAACACCTGGCGGAACATCTCTGCCTTATGGGCCCTGCGGAACTGCATCGAGTCCCTCGGGCGCGGGGATATCACTCGGCAGAGAGTTCCGCCAGGCTGGGGGCAGGGCCGGAAAACGCCCCGGCCCTGGTCGAGAACAGCTGGATGTCTCCCGCGCCTGGGACCACCCGCAGGTTCTTTTCAAGCCCAGCGTAACGCCCAGGAGCGGCGGTCCCGAAGATAACGTGGATCCCTGACCATTCAGGGCCTTAAAGGTTAATACCATAACTGTCAACTCCAGCCTTTTTCTGGGCCCGATTGCCATGGTGAAGTGGGGTGTGTGTGAAGAATGTATACTTTTGTTTGGTGTAGTGGTTTGGTGTGGTGGTTAAGTGAGCGGACTCTAAGCTGGGAGAACCGGGTTTGATTCCCCACTCCTCCGCTTGCACCTGGCTGGATTGCCTTGGGCAAGCCATAGTTCTGATAAGAGCTGTCCTTGAAAAAGAGCAGTTTCTGTCGGAGCTCTCTCAGCCCCACCCACCTCACAGGGTGTCTGTTGTGGGGAGGGGAAGGGAAAGGAGTTTGTAAGCCGCTCTGAGACTCCTTTGGGTAGTGAAAGGCAGGGTATAAATCCAATCTCTTTTTCTTCTTCGTCTTCTTTCTGCTCTGCTGTTATCTTCCTTAGCTCAGACACATAACCTCAAGCCCCTGTCATGACTGGTATCCTCTTTCCCCTGGGAACTATAGGCTGTTACTTAGGTGGGCCTTTAGCTTAGGCGTGATTGGCCCCGGGGGCCATTAGGGTCCTGCTTGATTTAGGTATAATTGCTTGCTTTGCGCACTTCCCCCCAGTTCTAACACAGAAATGTTAAGAGCCTGGATCCTATCAATGTCTCAATAAACGTTTTATTCCTTTGAATGACTGGTGTTGGGAACTGATTTCTTCAGGGATCTGACAATAACCTTGAACCTGATCATGTACTCCACCAGAAGCCATATGCTTTGGGGGACCTGGCCGGTTTTACCGGCAGGTTAGTAAGACCCGGCAAATGAGCAACGTCCTACTCTACAGGGCAGAGCCTGTTGCTGCCCCAAAGGGTTTTGCCTCCCCCCCCCAAAAAAAAATTCCATTTCATTAGCAAATTATGCTTAGATCATCTAGTTATTTGCTAACCTGATTCATCTCCCACCTTTCTCTCAATGGGAACTCAAAGCGGCTTACAGCATTCTCCTCTTCTGCGTTTTATCCTCACAACGACCCTGTGAGGAAGACTAGGCTGAGAGAGCGTGGCCGGCCCCGGCCTCCATGGCAAAGTGGGGATTTGAACCCAGCGTCTCTCTGATCCTGATCCGACACTTTAACCGCTACACCGCACGCCTAGGGGAAAGAAGATCTTGGGCAGGGGTGGCCAAACTTGCTTAACGTAAGAGCCACATATAATAAACATCGGAAGTTTGAGAGCCGCAAGACATGAACAGATATTACACGTTTTCATTTGGGAAAACGTGCAGCTTTGCTTTTTATGAACCTTAAATGAGACTGCCAAAAATAAGAACCCAAAGGGGGTAAAAGCAGATATCGATAATGATATTTATTTGCCCAATGTTTGCTAATATTTAGTTTCCCCAGCCTCCCTGCTGGGAGCCGCACAATACATGTGAAAGAGCCACATGCGGCTCCCGAGCCACACTTTGGCCACCTCTGATCTTGGGCCCTCTCTACCTAATGAGAACGGAACCCGTTGACCGCCAGACGTACCTTCGTGACAACTTATTCGCCACCGAACTATTGGCAAAAAATAGTCCCATCTTGGTGCTTCTGGGCTGCCTTGAGGCCTGGGCGCTTGTCTGTTTTTGTGGCATTTCAGATGGGATCCGGTGCCCATTCGGGGTCTGGCTTTGGGCATCGTGCCCCGCAGCAGTTCACCCGCCTGTCTTCTCACCTGCCCTCCTTTTCTTTTCCCCACAGCCGCACCTGGACTGCAGCCTTTTCTTCACTCCCCTCAAGAACGAAGCTCAGAAATTCGCGGCGGTCGCTCCGGGCAACGACCTGATTGTGTTTTCTCCCCTTCCTTTCCCAGCCGGAGAGAAGTGAGGGGCTTCCTTTCTTTTCCCCTTTCGCACCGTCCGCTTGGGACAGGTACCGGTGCATCTACGCACTGAGTAAACGGGTCTCTCCGCCTTATAAATTCTAGCCGAATTTACTCTGCGGCATTCTAAAGAAGGGGTTTCCACTTAAGCTGTGCCCTGCAGGGTTTAACTGGCTCATGACTGCTGACTGGGTAGGGAGTTGCTCAGATGACGACCTTCTGCAACAGGAGAGACTGTTGCTGAGACGCCAGGCATCTAAATGTGAGTGCCTAGTTAGTTCCCAGCTGTTTGAACGGGCCAGAGTTAACTGTGATATTTCAGGCCCTGTAAGCCTCTTAATAATTATTCAGAGGTTTGACTTGCCTTCAAAAAAAATGTGTGCGCTCATAAAACCAGAATGCTTTTATAGAGTTCTCTCCCCCCCCCCCTTTGGCATACTTCAAAAGCATTATTAAAGTTACGTTAACCCGCTCGGTCCCCTGGCGTGTGTTTCTTCGCTGTCCGAGTCCCTTCTCGATGCCACGTCTCTTCTTTATTTCCTTACCCGTCTTCTTCCTTCGCCAACAACGCCGGCTTGTTTTGTTTTCGTTTGGGTTGGATCCAGAGGTCATTTCGCGGGGGATCGCAGTTCCCCCGGGTGAGGTACGGGGGGCGGGGCACATGACGAAGCCCCGCCCCCTGCTTCCAGCCCTCATTCAGCCAGGAGGAGGCAGGAGAAGAGAGAGGGTAAGTTGCTTCCTCCCTGCCTCTCCCCACCCCTGCCTACCTAGGGCCAGGGAGGGCCTTCGCGGGGCTTCCTTGCACTCCCGCCGGCCTTGCAGGTCCACCGCCGGGCCCCTCATGGGCGGCGGCCGGGACCGTTGGGGGCGGGGTGTGTGGCCTTATGACACACTTCCAGTGATGTCAGGGGGTGTGGCATATGCTAATGAGTTATGCTAATAAGTTCCCCTAGCTCTTTTTCTACGAAATGACCGTTGGTTGGATCCCACCAGCTTTTTCTACCGGTGAAAAAGGGGAGGGGGAGGGAGGGGGATCCTCTTTGGTCATCCGAAAGCCCAGACTGGGGGATCTTGGGACCTAGACGGCTGTACTACTACAGCAGGGAAGGAGAGGGAGACTGAACGGAAAAGCCGTCTGGATCCTATTTATTAAAAACTAGCGTTGCCAGGTCCGACCTGGCTGCAGGCGGGGGGCTCCAGGCTGCTGGTCGGGGTTTTCCAGTGCACGCACACAGTGATGATGTCATCTGGAAGGGACGCATTCGCGCTAGGCACGTGGTTGGGGCATACTCTAGCAATCGGCCTAAAAACTCTATGGTGCCATAGAGTTTTTGGGGCAATTGCTTTTGTGTGTGTGTGTGTCTGTCCCCGGCGATGTGATCTTGGCACTTTGGGGGCGGCTAGATCTGGGCTGGCAGATCGGGGGGCCCTAAAGTGGGCAACCCCCCCCCCCGGGGGGGGACACCTGGCAACCCTGTTTAAAGCATTTATTCGCTGCCTTAGAATGTAAATAAAAAAAGGGTTGTTTAAAAAAACTAAGACACCCAAAAAAGTCCTAATTGGAAATCTGAAGACTGTCAATAAATAAGACAGTAAGCCTGGCCCCACGGCTGGACCTCCTGATGGCCCCCTGGTATCTTTGGCCACTGTGTGACACAAGAGTGTTGGACTGGGTGGGCCACTGGTCTGATCCAACACTGGCTTCTCTTATGTTCCTATGTCTGGGTCAGTGATCCTCTGTGTTCTTAATGCTTGGGGGGCGACTGTGGGAGGGCTTCTGGAGTCCTGGCCCCACTGGTGGACCTCCTGATGGCCCCTGGTATCTTTGGCCACTGTGTGACCCAGAGTGTTGGACTGGGTGGGCCCCTGGCCTGATCCAACACTGGCTTCTCTGGTGTTCTTACGTTCTTATTCAAATCAAGTCCTACATAAAATGGTCTTCAGCTGCCCCCGGGGAGGCTGTTCCATAATTGCAGGGGTGAAAAACACCCAGTAAAAAATCAGTAAAAGCCGTTTTTTCCATCTTGGTCATTAATTTGTCAGGTTCTTTTTTAAAAAAAAGGTCAGTAAAGTCAGCATTTCTTGGTTTTCGTGAATGCAATTTGTGGTGGTGGTGTGTTGTTTTCACTGCTGCGTTCTGGGGGAAACGTAATTGTGACCAGGCACCTCCCGACTTTTTTTGTGGGTTCTGTAACAGCTGAAGATATTTACAGTAAACTGGATGACGCTTTGGGTTTGGCACGACTTCCTACGTGAAAACTGCTAATCCTAAGTAACTGTGGGCGAAATGCCAGCAAGGCTGCCACCAAACTCACGAACGGTTATCTCATTTCGACAGTGAGACAGCCTGTGGTAGACACTGGCCCTTGTAACATTCATGTAGTCCAGTGGTGGCGAACCTATGGCACACGTGCCAGAGGTGGCACTCAGAGCCCTCTCAGTGGGCACGTGTACCATCGCCCCAGCCAGGCCCAGACCATCATTAAAGTGTCGAATTCTCTGCCAAATAATTTTAAGTCAATGAAAGCATTTGGGATTGCTTTCCTTACTATGTTTGGATCATCTTAAGTTAACGTATGAGTTGTTTTCTCTAAAGTAAAACCTCCGTATTCAGGTTAAAATGCCGTGTTGCACTTTGCGATAAATAAGTGGGTTTTGGGTCGCAGTTTGGGCACTCGGTCTCTAAAAGGTCCGCCATCACTGATGTAGTCCATTGTCCATTTTACAGGGAGGCTCGTCTTAAAATGATTACCCCATTAGTCGATAGGACACCTGAGCACATTAACACAAACCAAGCAAGGCTTCACTGCAGAGATTACACATTCAGTCGCTGAGTTTTGCGCATTAGTTCTTAGATTGCGGGAACCACATTTTAAAAGATCTTAAATTCAGATTTCTATTTTTGTATATTATGACTGGGGTTTTTTCTCTCTCCCTCACATATTATGCTTGCTCTGTATGTTGGTCTTAAGTCCGTAATAATAATAAACTAAACATATAGTCCATAATGCTTTCTGTAGGGGCACGGCGGAACTGGGAGACGATGCCTCAAATTTAATTTTTCTCCTTCGTGATTTTTTTTTTGATGGGTGGCCGTCACGATGGGTATGATTTTTAATAGGTTTTGCTGTTTTATTATCTGCAGTGTGTGATTATATTTAAAGGGGACTTTTTTTGCCTTAAATTTTGCACAATAACGAAAACGAAAACATTGTAGCCGTGCTGGAGGCCGTATCAGGCTGGGCGCTGGAACACCCTAGGCTAATTGTGTTGGGTGACTTCAACGTCCATGCTGAGGATGCGACCTCCAGCCGGGCTATGGATCTAGTGTCGTCCATGGCGGCACTGGGACTCTCCCAGTTTGTCTCGGCACCCACGCATCGGGCCGGTCACATGGTTGATTTGAACTTTGTGGCAGATTACGGTGGACCGAATTTCTGCCTTGGCAGTACCATGGTCGGACCACCATGCCCTGAGGGCCCGTCTGAATGTCCTACGCCAACCCTGTTTAGGTGGCGAGCTGATTTTGGCTCGCCCGCGAAGCCAAATGGACCCTATGCGGTTCCAGATGGCTTTGCGGGGTTTGAGGCCCCCTGGTGGTTCGTTGGATGAGCTGGTGGAGGATTGGAATTGCCGACTCTCCTCAGCCATCGACGAGATCACTCCCCGGCGCCCTCTCCGCACTCGAGATAGGCGAGCACCCTGTTATACCCAGGAGTTGCGGCGGCTGAAGCGAGGACGGCTAGAGAGACGGTGGCATCGGGCTTGCGAAGTGTCTAGAACATCCTATAAGACGTTTATCCTATGAGATGGCAGTCAAGGCCGCAAAGAAAGAATTCTATGCGACCTCGATTGCATCTGCTAGCTCACGCCTGGCCCAATTATATAGTGTAATTCGGTCTTTGACAGCTCTTAGGCTGCGAGGCATTTGCGAGCTATTTTGCAGATAAAAGTCTTGGCTCTCCGCCGCGACCTCCCCACCACAATTGAAACAGTCAGGGAACTCAAGGCCCCTTGCACGTCTTTGGTGCCGGGTTTAGTGAGTTTTGACCCACTCAGCCTGGAGGAAGCTGACAGGTTGCTCGTATCGGTGCGCCCAACCACATGCGACCTGGATTCGTGCCCCTCCTGGCTTATTAAAGCGGGCCACGAGGGGTTTCGAGGTGCACTGCGGGAGATTGCCAACAAGTCCCTCGCTGAGGGATAGTTCCCTGGAGCACTTAAGGAAGCAATGGTCTGCCCTCTCTTGAAAAAGCCATCTTTGGACCCGGCCGAATTGGCCAACTATCGGCCGGTTTCCAATTTGCCCTATTTGGGCAAACTTATTGAGAGAGCGGTGGCATCACAGCTACAGGGCTATCTGGATGAGGCTTCCGTCCTCAATCCCTTCCAGTTCGGCTTTCGCCCGGGCCACGGGACGGAGACGGTGCTGGTCACCCTGACGGACGATCTCCGCAGGCATCTGGATCGAGGCGGCGTGGCGGCACTGGTGGTGTTAGATCTGTCGGCTGCGTCTGACACGGTCGACCACCAGTTGCTGGCCCGCCGCCTCGCCGACGTGGGGATTCAGGGGATTGCTCTTCAGTGGTTTGCCTCTTTTCTTCAAGGTCGGGGACAGAGGGTGGCGATTGGGGACCAGCGGTCCCAAAGGCACCACCTTGAGTGTGGGGTGCCCCAGGGAGCCGTGTTGTCCCCTATGTTGTTTAACATCTATATGCGCCCCCTTGCCCAGATTGCCCGGAGGTGTGGGCTTGGGTGTCATCAATATGCCAATGATACCCAGCTCTATCTGATGTTAGGTGGCCAGTCGGACTCTGGTCCCGATGACCTTCATTGGTCGTTGCAAGCTGTGGCTGGTTGGCTCAGACTGAGTAGGTTGAAATTAAACCCGGCAAAGATGGAGGTCCTGGGCCTGAGTCGGACCGGTCTGGGGTTGGGGCTCCCTCTCCTGGCCTTCGACAGGGTGCCGTTGGTGCCTGCGCAGGAGGTTAGGAGTTTGGGGGTGCTCCTGGACTCTTTGTTAACGATGGAGGCCCAAGTGGCAACCACTGCCAGGGCGGTCTTTTACCATCTGCGGCTGGCTCGGCAGTTGGTCCCCTACCTTGACCGTGAAGACCTGGCCACTGTGATCCATGCGAAGGTCACCTCGAGGCTTGGTTACTGTAACGCTCTCTACTTAGGGCTGCCTTTGTCGCAAATCCGGAAACTGCAGCTAGTGCAGAATGCTGCGCCCAGGCTGTTGATGGGCCTCTCTAGGCGAGACCACATCCGGCCGGTGCTGCAAGCGCTGCACTGGCTGCCGATAGCATACCGGATTCGCTTCAAAGTGCTGGTTCGTACCCTTAAAGTCCTAAATGGCCAGGGTCTGGCTTACCTGAAGGACCGCCACTCCCTGTATGTTCCCCCAAGAGCACTACGATCGGGGAGCCTCCATCTCCTGGAAGTTCCAGGCCCCCGAGAGGTTAAGTTTGCCCCTACTAGGGCCAGGGCGTTTTCGGTGGCGGCTCCCACCTGGTGGAATGAGCTCCCGGAGGAGATCCGGGCCCTGCGGGACCTTGTGCAGTTCTGCAGGGCCTGTAAGACGGAGCTCTTCCGCCAGGCTTTTGAGTAGGAGCCGCCGCCACTATCCCACCATCGTGGTCGTGCTCCATCGTCTGCCCCTATCATGGGGGTGCAAGCATCGCCTGGCAGAAGCGCATAGAACAGCGCTGCGGGAGACCACGCTATTGAGAAAGCTGGCCGCCGAGTTGGGTTTTTTCCTATCTTGAGTGACTTACATAGGAAGATCAGAGCACCTTGATTACTGTATGGGTTTTATTGTGGTTTTAAATGTTGTCTATTTTATTGCATCGCCCGCTTACGTGACCACGAACGGAACACAGAACAGTCAACTTTCCTTTGGCTTGACCCCCACATTTATTTATGATTTTTGCCTACAAACTTAATGGGGGGCTGGGAGCTTCCGTAAGACAGCCTGCTTTAACACGCAGACGGAGCACGAAGCCGCGGGGCGCCAGACGTTAGATCATGGTCGGGGTGATGCTGGTGAGGCTGACGTCACCAGCCACGCAGAGCTTGGTGATCTGGTTCAGCTCTCGGATGCGGTGGTTGTACTGCAGCAGGTGGGCATCGTTGACGGCGACCTTCAAGTGATCGGCTTCACACAAGATCTGGATCTGGGGAAAGAGAAAAGGGAATGCCGGCGTTCAATACCAAGAAGCACACACATGATTTCTTTTTTAAATTATTTATATGTGCAGGTGGGCGTGCGCACCTGGAAGTCATGGCGACCTCTGGTGGCTGACCCCTACTGGGGGCCTGGAGGGTATTCAGAGAGGTGGCTGAATACAGCCTGCCCCTGCCTCCGGCCTCTGGTATTCCAAGGAGGTCTCCCCTCCGAAGTACTTGCCAGAGTCGGCCCTGCTTAGCTTCCGAGATCTGACCAGATCGGGCTTGCCTGGGCCATCCAAGTCAGGGCAGAGCACACACAAGATTGTGCAGGGGCAGTGCGCATGGCTTCCACACACAGGAACAGCCCTGTGCAGCTTTCCCCATTGCCAACACAGGGCGGACCTGCCCCTCCCCTGAGCCGAGTCTTTTAAAAAAAATCAATTTCATATGTCATTATACCAACGTAACAACAAATGTAGCGGGTTCTGTTAATTCCCAGCTTTTTTTTTTAAGCTCTCTAGCCCTTCTGTGGCAAAGATCTGCCTTTCCCCTTATATCTCCGCAACAAAAAGGGTTTAGAGACATTTTGAAAAAACAGTAAGGGGGTAATTGCAATCGATACAGCCATATGAAATTGACAAGTTTTCTAAAAGAACAACCCCGTGTGTGTGTCTGTGTGTGTGAGAGAGAGAGAGAGAGTCCCCCTTGGACTGCCGGGAGATCGAATCAGTCAGTCCTAAAAGAAATCAACCCTGACTGTTCCCTAGTGTCAGCTATGGCTGCCATGAGTGGGATGTATATTTCTAATTGCTTTGCATTCCTTCCCATGGGCTTAATTGCATCCGAGCTGTAAGGCGTATCTTTCAAGGTCACTGGAGGAGTTGGTGTGTCTAGGTTTCGTGGGAAGGTTTTTTCTTTCCCAGTTTCGGGGCAGTTAGTGCTTCTGCCAAATTCCCGCGCGCGGGAGCCCATCTAATTGGGTAGCACTTGGGCGGGGGGGGGGAATGCCCTATATCCTATTATGCGCATAGGTAACCCACCATTCCTAACAGTGTTCACGTTACTGCATCAATGGCTTTTCAAATAAAGTAAAAACTTCCTAGAAGCGTGTACTTCATTGTCGTGCTGTGGATCCTGACACCTAGAAGGCCAGAGACTGAAGCTCAAGCTTAAAGGGCCTGGCGTGATGTGGTCCATGGGGTCGCTAAGAGTCGGATCCGACTGTGTGACTGAACAAGTGTGTGTGTTTCGGGGAGGAGAAACGGCCACCGTGAGGACAGGGAAATGGCCGCCATCTCGACTTGGCCATTCCCACAACATCACAGGGAAGTGGATTTTTGAAAGGTCGAAGGGAAGCCGGGGGGAAACCCCAGGAGGTACACGAGTGTGCTGTGATGCTGCAGGGGAAAGAGAACTCTGCTTCCCGACAGCGTTGACCCTGGGACAGGTAAGCGGTGCAGACGTTCTTGGGCAGACCGGCAGAGCAGCAGAGCTAGACTGTTAGGACTTGCAGGAGTCTCCAAAGAGGAGACTGTTCCCAATCCCAACCTAGCCTCTGAAACGGGTCCCCAACGGGGTGCCCACCACCACCACCACCTTTTCAGGGGCCCGCAGAGTGTCTTTAGGAAGTGGGCGGATGTCGCTTTGGCAGCAGCTGCCACCACAGCACAAGGACCTACGCCGTGTGGCTGACATTAAAGCTGTGCCAATCGTTATGTGGCTGGCTCTGCCTCCAGCAGCGGCCATTTTCTAGCAGCCATTTTGTCGCTGTGCCCACCACGCCGTGTCAGTATTCCAAAGGTGCTTGCGGGCTGAAAAAGGTTGGGGACCCCCGCTCTAACATTACTTGTCTTTATGGGCTCAGTATCTTTGCTTTAATGTCTGCTCCAGAATCACACCAAAGATGACTAGTTCAATGAACAACACCCACATATAGAAGCTTTCCCCACTATCGTTAAAGGTGATAAATAGTGAATTACTTTAGGGAGACCGCCAAGGGAGTCCAGGGTTGCTACGCAGAGGCAGGCAGTGGCAAACCACCCCTGTCTCTTCCCTGATCTGGATGGCCCAGGATAGATGGATCTCATCAGATCTCAGAAGCCAAGCAGGGTCGGCCCTGGTTAGTCCTTGGGTGGGAGACCGCCAAGGGAGTCCAGGGTTGCCACGCAGAGACAGGCAGTGGCAAACCACCCCTGTCTCTTCCCTGATCTGGATGGCCCAGGATAGATGGATCTCATCAGATCTCAGAAGCCAAGCAGGGTCGGCCCTGGTTAGTCCTTGGGTGGGAGACCGCCAAGGGAGTCCACGGTTGCCACGCAGAGGCAGGCAGTGGCAAACCACCCCTGAACGTCTCTTGCCTTGACCGAGATGGCGCAGGCTAGCCGAATATCATCGGATTTCGGAAGCAAAGTAGGTTTGGCCCTGGTTAGTGCTTGGATGGGAGACCGCCAAGGGAGTCCAGGGTTGCTACGCAGAGGCAGGCAGTGGCAAACCACCCCTGAACGTCTCTTGCCTTGACCGAGATGGCGCAGGCTAGCCGAATATCATCGGATTTCGGAAGCAAAGCAGATTTGGCCCTGGTTAGTGCTTGGCTGGGAGACCACCGAGGAAGTTCGGTGTTGCTGTGCAGAGGCAGGCAACAGCTAAACCACCGCTAGTCATCTCCTGCCTTGACCTGCATGGCCCAGCCTACCCTGATCTGGTCAGATCTTGGAAGCTATGCTGCATCGACCCTGGTGAGCACTTGGATGGGAGACCACCAAGGAAGTCCAGGGTTGCTACGCAGAGGCATGCGATGGCAAAGCACCTCTGTTGGTCTCATGCCTTGACCTACATAGCCCAGCCTACCCTGATCTGGGAAGCTATCCTGCATCGACCCTGGTGAGCACTTGGATGGGAGACCACCAAGGAAGTCCAGGGTTGCTACGCAGAGGCAGGCGATGGAAAACTACCTCTGAACATCTCTCCCCTTGACACGCATAGACCAGCCTAGCCAAATCTGGTCAGATCTTGGAAGCGAAGCAGGTTTGACCCTGCTCAGTACTGCGATGGGCGACCACCAAGGAAGCCCAGATCAACGCTTTAAAGATACCACGACCGATATTTGAGTTAGTTGACCAACTCTTTTCCCTTTCTTTTTTAATAGACTGGTCAAATTTCCAAACTTAAAAAAGGAAGACAGAGGGTTTTACAGATGTAAAATTAAAAAAAAATGGGTTAAGAGAGTTTTGATTTTTCCAAACTGATATGTCCTACTACTTGGCTTTACAACTAACCTGTTTCTAGTGGCGCGCTCGTCTTGGGAGACGGAACGAGTGGGGTAGGAGATTGTGTGTCAAAGCGAGTTTTGGGAGACGCGGGTTCAGACCACCATTCAGCTCACGGGGGGGGGACTTTGGGCCAGCCGCGCACGACCTTGCCTACCTCACAGGGCTGTTGTGAGGATACAGTGGGGGAGGGAGATGCATGTGCGCCACCCCCAAGTTTCCTGGAGGAAGGACACGGTTTGGGGAAGGGGAAGGAGAAGGTTTTGTTTTCGAAATTACCTTGAAAGGTTTCCCGGCCTCAAAAGGGAACCGGGGGGCCATGCGTTCCTCCTTCCCCCAGTTGTTGTAGAGCATGGTGTTGCACACAATGACTTTCTTGTTGTCCTCGTTGAAGCGGGGGTTGAAGTGGAGGGCGATGTCATTCCCTTTCTTGAAGTCCACCTGAAATCTGGAACGAGCAGCAAGATATTTCTCGTCACCAGCCCGATGTACCAGGAGAGCCAGGCAGCCTCTCGACATTTTTAAAAGCCCAAACGCTATGACGCAAGCAAGGCAAAAACGCTGCCCTGAAGGATCAGTTGGGAAATACCTGGAGACTTTGGGGGGTGGATCCAGGAGACGGCGGGGTTTGGGGACCATCAGCAGGGTAAAATGCTATAGACTCCACCCTCCAAAGCCACAATTTTCTCCGGGAGAACTGACCTCTGTCATTTGGAGATCAATTGTAATAGCGGGAGGGCGGACTCTTAATCTGGGAGAGCCGGGTCTGATTCCCCACTCCTCCGCATGCAGATGCTGGGGTGACCTTGGGTCAGTCACAAGTTCTCTCAGAGCTGTTCTCTCAAGGGCAGTCCTCGAAAGAGCTCTCTCAGCCCCACTGGGAGGGGAAGGGAAAGGAGACTGGAAGACGCTCTGAGGCTCCTTTGGGTAGTGAAGGGCGGGGTAGAAATCCAATCTCTTCTTCTTCTTCAGTGCCACCTGGGGCTTGGCAACCCTATTTCTGTGCCCTGTAGCAGCTTCACCTGGGAAGTAGCCCGGTTGCCACACAGGGCTGCAAACTGCAGCCAGCTGAATTCCCGGTGATTTGGGGGTGGGGCCTGCGGGTGGGAGAGTCCGGCAAGGGGTTTCACCTCGAATCGATGGTATGCCATAGGGTTTGCCCTCTGAAGCGGCCATTTCCTCCCGGGGAACTGATCTCTAGTATGGAGACTGGTTGTAATTCCCGGTGGTCTCCGGAGCCCCAGCTGGAGGTTGGCAACCAACCCTGTCCCCCCCCGAAGATGCCATGCCAATGCGAAGTCCCAACCACCCAAAGTTGTAATATCCACGGAATGTAAAAGCAAGCATCGGATTGGCTCTTGAATTTTCACTTGTCCCTCCTTACAGGGCCGCGGAGAACGAGACAATGCCAAAATTGGGCAAGTATTGCTCAGGGCAAGGGGGGGACTTTGGTAATCAGAGACGTATATTGCAGTGACCAGGGGTCATTTCCTAGAAAAAGAGGTGCAGGAGCTCATTTGCATAGCTCATTTGCATATGCCACACCTCCTGGCAAAGGGCAGGCATGCAAGCATGCCTGGGGTTCCCTGCCTGATCTTCCCAAGACCGGGCAGGGAACCCAGGCATGTTTAAAATGCCTTTCTTTCCCTTCCCCATCTGGGGAAGGGGAAAAAAGGCATTTAAATCCCCCCAGGCAGCTGGGGAGTGGCCCCTGAGCTCCTTACTGCCAGAGCGCTGCTCCGATGTGCTCCGGCAGGAAATGAACCCTGGCAGTGACTAAATTATCTGGAAAGTCTCCAGCCCTAGCATGAGATGTACACATGAAGCTGCCTTCTACTGAATCAGACCCTCGGTCCATCGAGGTCAGTAGTCTCTTGCCGCTCTCCAGGGTCTCAGGCAAAGGTCTTTCCCATCACCTACTGCCTGACTCTTTTAGCTGGAGATGCCAGAGATTGGACCTGTGACTTTCTGCATATAAAGCAGATGCTCTACCACTGAGCCACGGCCCCTCTGAGTAGGTAATTTACTCAAGATGGATTGAGTCAAGTAGAAGAAGAGATCGGATTTATACCCCGCCCTTCCCTACCCAAAGGAGTCTCAGAGCGGCTTACAATATCCTTTCCCTTCCCCTCCCCACAACAGACAGCATGTGAGGTAGGCGGGGCTGAGAGAGCTCTGCCGAGGACTGCCCCCGAGAGAACAGCTCTGAAAGAACTTGTGACTGACCCAAGGTCACACCAACAGCTGCATGTGGAGGAGTGTGGAATCAAACCCAGTTCTCCCAGATTAGAGTCCATGCTTCTAACCACTACACCAAACTGGCTCTCTAGTAGGTGGAGCGATTCAAGGAAGCCGTGGCCCTCAGTTTGCGAGAACCAAGCAAGGCTGCTGAGGATAGGACATTTGGAGGTCATTAATTCGTAGGGTCCCCATAAATCGGAAGCGCTTACAAACGCTTCATTTTCTTCCTGGTGGTTCCGGACTTCTAAAATCCTAATGCGTTGATCATTGAATGTCCCATCCTGTCGATCGTATTGACTCACTCTGCGTAATCTGCCTTGGGTCCCTGAGGAAGGCGGACTACGGTTAATGTAAATAAAATAACTCACTCTCGCCCCAGTATGAACAGTATGCAAAGACATTGCGGAATCCTCCCTCTAAGCCGTGGAGCCTCGTGAGCAAAAACTCTCCTTTGTGAGCGAGCCATCTGGCTGCTGCATCAATTAGTCTGCTCTCTGGAGCACTCCCTTCCTGAGCTACGACAAACGTGTGAGCTGGAGGCTAAAAAAACTGTGAGCTGGCTCACACTCACTCAGCTTAGAGGGAACACTGGCGCCGGGGACTTGTGTGATTATCTCATTAGCCACCAGCAGGTGGTGCCATTGCTTACACGGTCTGCAAAGAATAGGTACCCAGCCATATTGGTCTGAAGCAATAGAATAAAGTTGAGAGTTCAATGGCTTGTCCTTCTTTCAATCTGCTTAAAAATATATATATTCTCGCGATGTTGCACGCTAATTTAACAAGCCGCCTATGTATACAACTATGATATGTAATTCCATTGCATCGTCTGGCGAGGTGTGCACGCGCGGGAAAGCTCACATCTTGAATAAAAACATTGTTGGCCTTAAAGGGGCCCCTGGATTCTAACCTTATTCTACGGCCCGTAAAGAACACTGGTTAAAGGAACTGCAACCTTTTCGAGTACCTTTAAAAGGCTACGGAAGGAGGAGAAGAAGAGAAGAGATTGGATTTATACCCCGCCCTTCACTACCCAAGGAAGTCTCAGAGCGGCTTACAAACTCCTTTCCCTCCCCCTCCCCACAACAGACACCCTGTGAGGTAGAAGAAGAAATGAGATTGGATTTATACCCCACCCTTCACTACCCAAGGGAGTCTCAGAGCGGCTTACAAACTCCTTTCCCTCCCCCTCCCCGCAACAGACACCCTGTGAGGCAGGTGGGGCTGAGAGAACTCTGACAGAAACTGCTCTTTTTTCAAGAACAGCTCTTACCAGAACTACGGCTTGCCCAAGGTCATCCAGCCAGGTGCAAGTGGAGGAGTGGGGAATCAAACCCGGTGCTCCCAGATTAGAGTCCATGCACTTAACCACTACACCAAACAGGAAGGAAGGAAAGACTGGATTTACACCCCGCCCTTCACTACCCAAAGGAGTCTCAGAGCAGCTTACAAACTCCTTTCCCTCCCCCTCCCCACAACAGACACCCTGTGAGGCAGGTGGGGCTGGGAGAGCTCTGACAGAAACTGCTCTTTTTCAAGAACAGCTCTGAAACAACTATGGCTTGCCCAAGGTCATCCAGCAGCTGCAAGTGGAGGATTGGGGAATCAAACCCGGTTCTCCCAGATTAGAGTCCACGCACTTAACCGCTACACCAAACCAGCTCTCAGGGACCAGAGTGGAACGGTGCTGGCTGTCTGCCATGAGCACATCCTTTCATTTATCCAACTCATTCCTTGACTTTCCCAGGGCAGCTCTCGGCACCAACACCTGCCAGCATCCACTTGCTACTGGGAATGGGGAAGAAAATATTCTGCAATGGCAGAAAGATTGCGAGACAATGATCCAGATTCCTTATCCCACCACGATTGCCATCGCCTCTTACAGGAACCACCTGATAAGGCTCCTTCTTTGCATCCTTACCTATTTGGCCTTTGGTTCACCGTCCCGACGATGGTTATTAACAAGCGAGGTACTAGCCCTGAGTGCAGAGGGACCTCACAGGGGACTTTCTGCAAAAAACAAAACAGATTTTATTTATTTCCATGCAAAAGAGCAGTCTCGAACCATATGGCTGACGATGTCGACTCACATGTTGCTTCCTTGATCATTAAAATAATTTCCGTTCTAACTCCTGAGACGGATGTAATTAACAATTAAAATCACACAAGATGGGACCTACGAGCGACTCGCGGGGAAAGGGGAATCCCACCCATGCTAGTCCCTGCTTCTTCCTGCTGCTTCCTTCCCCCAAGCTGCCTTTCTCCCGGCCCTCCCGCAACATCCTCCACATGCAATCTTCCTCCCCTCCTGCCTTTACCAATACCTGCCACCTTCCTTCCCTCCTGCCTTCCTTCTGCCAATTTACTTCCCTCCTGCCCCTACCATCACCACTTGCTCACTTGCGTTTCTATACCACCTCCTTGTCTTCCTTCCTTGCTACTCTTCCATCACTGCTGCCTTGCTTGCCACCCACTCAAAACTACTGCCTGCCTGCCTTGCCCTCCTCCTGGTGCCTGTCTCACCCTCTCCTCTGCTTCCACCACCTGATTATGGAGTTGCTAAGCAACAGTCCAAACAGTGGCCGAGATCTCATAACAGAGCGTCATCGTTTTCTCTCTCTCCCTGTCAAATTTCCGTCTCCTTCTCATTTTCAGATCTTTCTGCAAATCTGGGGGGGGGGGGGGCCCTCACCCAGATGTGCTGAAAAATCCCCTCTCTGTACATAGCCCCATGGTGTGGCTTTTGGGATCTGCACGCCAGGGCCACATCAAAAGTTAGAACATGAGAACATAGGAGAAACCATGTAGGAGAACATAGGAGAGACAGTGTGTGGCTGCAATAAAGAAGGCCAATGCTATGCTGGGGATTATTAGGAAGGGTACTGAAAACAGATCAGCCAATATCATAATGCCGCTATATAAATCAATGGTGCGACCTCATCTGGAATACTGTGTGCAGTTCTGGTCACCACACCTTAAAAAGGATATTATAGCTTTGGAAAAAGTGCAGAAAAGGGCAACTCGAATGATAAAAGGGTTGGAACACTTTCCCTATGAGGAAAGGTTAAGGCGCTTAGGGCTCTTTAGCTTGGAGAAACGACGACTGAGGGGTGACATGATCGAGGTTTATAAGATTATGCGTGGGATAGAGCAAAGGAAGTCCTTCACCCAAAGAGTGATGAACACATGGAATTCACTGCCACAGGAGGTGGCGGCGGCTACAAGCACGGACGGCTTCAAGAGGGAATTAGATAAGCATGTGGAGCAGAGGTCCATCAGTGGCTATTAGCCACAAGGTATAGATAGGGGCTCCGGGGCAAGCGATGCTCTATATTCTTGGTGCTTGGGGGGTCAACAGTGGGAGGGCTTCTAGTGTCCTGTCCCTACTGGTAGACCTCCTGATGGCACCTAGTATTTCTGGCCACTGTGTGACCCAGAGTGTTGGACTGGATGGGCCTTTGGCCTGACCCAACATTGGCTTCTCTTATGTTCATGTTGGATCAGCCAGTGGCTCATCCCATCCAACGCTCTGGGTCACACAGTGGCCAAAACCCAGCTGCCATCAGGAGGTCCACCAGGGGGGCCAGAACTCCAGGACCCCCCCCCACTGTGTCCCCCCAGCACTAAGAATACAGAGCACCACTGCCCCAGACATAGCGTTCCATCTATTCCTTGTGGCTAATATCCACTGATGGACCTCTGCTCCAGATGTTTCTACAATCCCCTCTTGAAGCCATCTATGCTTGTAGCTGCCACCACTTCCCGCAGCAGGGAATCCCACTTGCTTATTCATCTTTGATCTGTTCTAAGCCTAGCCTACTACTCATCAATCCTCACAGGTGACAAGTTGGTCCAAAGCCAAACCACAAAATTCCGAAGAGTGAATCCTCACTGCCCCAGGGTAACGGGCTACCACCAGCCGGGGACCAAGGCGGGATGCTTGCAATTTGAGTTCCAAAGACAATTACTCCCTTCCTGCCAGTAGCCCCTCCGACCCCTAGAATCAGAGTTGGAAGGGACCTCTAAGGTCATCTAGTCCAACCCCTGCACAAGGCAGGAAATTCACAAATACCTCCCCCTCCACACCCGCGGTGACCCCTGCTCCATGCCCAGACGAGGGCAAAGAAAAAAAAAACCTCCAGGATCCCTGGCCAAACTGGCCTGGAGAAAAATGGCTTCCTGACCTCAAAGTGGCGGCCAGCATTTCCCTGGGCGTGTGAGAAACGGCCACGAGAACTAAGCACTGAGGCAACTCTTCCTGCCCCCCCCTTCTTGTGATCTGCCCCAGTTCACAGAATCAGCATTGCTGTTAGGGGGCCATCTGGCCTCTGCTTGAAAACATGGGTCCCATGCAACGCTCCCTCTAAGCTGTGGATGGTGAACAAAAATTCTACTTTGTGAGCTCTTGGCATTAAAGTTGTGAGCGAGCGATTTGGCTACTGCTTAAATTAGTTTGCTCCGGAGCCCTCCTTCCTGAGCAAAGAAAAAAATATTTGAGCCAGAGGCTAAAAAACTGTGAGCTGGCTCACACTAACTCAGCTTAGAGGGACCATGGGTCCCATCATGCAATGCTCCCTCTAAGCTGTGGAGTCTGGTGAGCAAAAATTCCACTTTGTGAGCGAGCGATTTGGCTGCCACATAAATTAATTGGCTCCGGAGCCATCCTTCCTGAGCGAAGACAAAAATCTGTGAGCTGGAGGCCAAACAACTGTGAGCTGGCTCACACTAACTCAGCTTAGAGGGAACACTGGCCCCATGCCAAGATTCCTCTAACCTTCCTCCTCCTCTGCCTCAGTGCAACGCTCTCTCCATCTCTCTTCTGTCTCCTCCACATGCAGTTTGCTCCCAGATGCGCACCACTGAAGGTGTGCTTGGGCTGGATTTATTTATTTATCTTTTGTTTATCCTTAGATTTGTGTCCCGCCCTACCCCGAAGGCTCAGGGCGGCTAACAAGGGCACCATGTGCCAAGGATAAAACAGTAAAAAAACATAATATAAAACGGTAAAATACAGTAACAAAATCATCAGTGCTCCATTTGTCACAAGATGGGGTAGATCTTAATCCTAACGGTAACATTCCCGAAATCTATCATCCTATTCCTGCCGGGGACGCCTCGCACCCCCAAAGGGACCAGATAGTGGTGGTGATGGTGTGACGGTGCATAGATGGCAATGGTGGAGTATTTATTGGCTTGGGACGGATCGACGGATCTGTATTACACAGGCAACTGGTGCCAGGCCTGCTGGTGCGCTGGCAAAATGACTAGCGAGTGCCGTGACAATATGCGCAGAATATATCAAGAAAATATCGTTAAAATGATTTTTTCAAATAAATTGAATTATTATTAATTCTATTTCGTATCTGTTAAGGAATACTTCGAAACAAAGAGGAAAATACCCGGAATTTTCGTCAAAATAATTTTGAGTTGAACATTGTTTCATATTTATACGTTTAAGCAAGTATTTGGATTTTTTCCCCATTGTACTGTTGCACAGTGAGACGTCCGGTCGCTTATGCGCATAACTGTACTTGAGTCGCAAGTTTTGTTTGTCCTTAGCACTGGTTAAAATAAGCTTTTGCCATTGTTTCTGAAGACAACTGTCTGCTTAAGCTACAATAAGTAACTAAAGACAGAAAACGATTCATTTGAAAATTATTTAAATATTTATTTATTTTTATTTTATATTTATTTATTCATTAGATTTGTACCCTGCCCTCCCCAACGGGCTCAGGGCGGCTACAACAGAGGCAATTGCCATAACAAAAGTTAAAACGCCAGTGCTCTTGATGTTAAATTTTTCTTAATCCAATATGAGTTCCATTCATCAACCTAACCTGACAACATACATTCTTCGGTTAACTAGGCGTCTGCCCAGGGCCGGCTCACCTCCAGATCTAATCCACCGTCGAAGATGGCAACTCGGTGGTGGTACAGTGACGGCGGCGGCTCCTATGCAAAGGCCTGGCGGAAGAGCTCCATCTTGCAGGCCCTGCGGAACTGCGCCCGGTCCCGCAGGGCCCGAACCTGCTCTGGGAGCTCATTCCACCAGACAGGAGCCGCCGCCGAGAAAGCCCTGGCCCTGGTTGCAGCCAGCTTGATGTCCTTGGGGCCGGGAACCACCAGTAGGTGCTGCGACCCCGACTGTAGCGCTCTTGGGGGAACATATGGAGATATTTTCTTGATATATTCTGCCCATATTGTCATGGTCTCTGCTAGCCTTAGTTGTTTTTTTTACTGTGACCCATCTACTTTCTTACACTGGCAAAATGATCAGAATCCGACCCACCCACCTTCTAAAAACACTCGCTGGGCACCCAGGAAAGTGCTGGTGGGCGCTGGAGTGCCCGCGGGCACCCTGTTGGGGGCCTCTCGGATAGCGTTTCTAACCTGTTACAGATCGAGATGGGCCACGGTGTCAGTCTGCCTACAGCCGCAGGAAAGAGCCAGAGTCCAGGAGCACCTTCAAGACTCATGACATTTGCGGCCGGGAGTGAATTTTTGTGAGTCACGGCTCACTTCTTCAGATAGATCAAGACAAGGCGGCCATGTTAGTCTGTCTGGAGCAGCAGAAAAGAGCCCGAGTCCAGCAGCGCCTTCAAGACTAACAAAAGCCGTGGCAGAGGAGGAGCTTTCGTGAGTCGCGGCTCACGTCTTCAGATACGGCTAGAAGGGGGACCCCATCGGTTCCGTTCCTTGGAACTCTACATGTAACTTGCTAGGTGACCTGTTATAGAGAAAGGGGGAGAGAGAGGCTTCTTACCAATGGAGCAGCAGGCGCACTCGCTGGGGCGTTCGGTTGTGCTCCGCCACCTGATGGCTGCCCAGGAGCGGGATACATTCCTGATGTGTCAGAGGGAGAGGTCCCTGATGAGTTGTCGGAAGAGCGCCGGGCTGTGCGCCGGGGTATGCGCCGGGCTGTGCGCCGGGGTATGCGCCGGGCTGTGCGCCGGGGTATGCGCCGGGCTGTGCGCCGGGGTATGCGCCGGGCTGTGCGCCGGGGTATGCGCCGGGCTGTGCGCCGGGGTATGCGCCGGGCTGTGCGCCGGGGTATGCGCCGGGCTGTGCGCCGGGGTATGCGCCGGGCTGTGCGCCGGGGTATGCGCCGGGCTGTGCGCCGGGGTATGCGCCGGGCTGTGCGCCGGGGTATGCGCCGGGCTGTGCGCCGGGGTATGCGCCGGGCTGTGCGCCGGGGTATGCGCCGGGCTGTGCGCCGGGGTATGCGCCGGGCTGTGCGCCGGGGTATGCGCCGGGCTGTGCGCCGGGGTATGCGCCGGGCTGTGCGCCGGGGTATGCGCCGGGCTGTGCGCCGGGGTATGCGCCGGGCTGTGCACCGGGGTATGCGCCGGGGTATGCGCAGGGCTGTGCGCCAGGGTAGCCTGGGGGAGCCCCCGGGTTGTTAGAGAGGGCGTCAGCGAGCTGCATAGGAGACAAAAGCAATATTATCAATGTCCCTTCATTTCCCAGCAGCACATCTGCGTCGGCTGAGCCAGTGGCATAAAATGCTTCGCCCGGAACGGCAGGTGCTTTCCGCTCCACCGAAAAGGAACCCGGGACGCCCTGAAGGCTTCTAGAGCGCACAGAGATACAGTCCGGGTCAAGCTTGAACAGACCATGTGCTTCCCCCCCCTCGAAAAAATAAACCTCAACAGAACAGAACAGAACAGAATAGCGTTAGAATAGCATAGCACAGAATAGCATAGCATAGCACAGCATAGCATAGCATAGAATGTTTATTGCGGTCAAAGACCATAATATAGCGAATAGAGTTAATGTAACAGCTACCAGAATAAAATAATATATCGTGTGGCAGTGTGTGTTATAAAACACTAAAACGTTAAAACATTTACAAATCCCAATACAATTCAGATAAAATCAAATCCAGGCCGTTCAATACAGTCCCTCCACTTTCTCCTAACACAATAGGCTAACCAACCAAATGTAGCCACCATACGAGTTACATTCCGGTTTTTATCTGCCAACATAATTGAGAGGAGAGTCCCCCTAGCACGCCTTGGATATGACTTTATAATAGGATCTATAAATATCTCTCTATTGTGCTCAACTTCTAAAAAAAAACCACAGCACCCCAAGAGCCAATGGACTTCAGAAACAGACACTTACCGAAAGACCGTCAGACATCTTCCTGGAAACAAAACAGAAGACAAAAGCAAGTTAGCACAGGGCAGGCCAAAACCAAATCTCACTAGACCCAAAAGTGGTGCAGGGTGGAGGAAAGAGCCTTGAGTTGGGGACATGTGTTCAAATCCTCATTCAGCCGGGGAACTCGCTGGGTGATCTCGGACCGACTCTGACCCTTTGCCCACCTCACAGGTTAGTTGTCACAGCAGAAAAGAGCAAGAGTCCAGTGTTGCACCTTAAAGCAGGGGTGTCAAACTCATTCGTTATGAGGGCCGGATCTGACACAAAGGAGACCATGTCGGGCCGGGCCACGTGTGTCATAAAACGTAATGCCAGGTAGTGGAGATATAAACTTTATAAAGGACACACACACAAAGGTTTGGTTTTTTTTTTACTTAAAATAAAAACATGCTTAAAACATTAGCATTCTGGCTATATCTTGTTTATTTAACAGTGTCTGATAACTGACACCCTTCGCTCTGAATTATTGCATCAACATGTCTGTGCCGTTGCAATCTTGCATGTGCTGTTCAGGTGTGTATCTATAAGCTTTGATGGAGGGACGCACATTCAGACCTACAAAATCGCTGTTACCAGAATACGTTGTGGTGGTGATATGGCTATACCCATGGCCCATCACTAATACCAGGAGTCCAATTATAAGTAGACAAGGAAACAACATCTGGTTTAATTATATGGGTACTAGAATTCTGTAACAGGTCTTTGAATGTGTGTCTAGAATATATAGATAATAGTGGCCACTGAGGAAGGCCCTTAGGGGCCGAAACGCGTTTGGTCTTCAGTTGGAAAGTTTGTACCCATCATTTGCATGTATAGTGGACAAGCTTTTACAGTCGGATCTTAGACAAAGCAATTTTTAATCAGGAAAGTTTTAACTCGTGTAGAACCTTAATAAATATTTGTACTTTTTTATATATATGGTTTAGCTTAGCCCTATTTGGTTCATAGTCATATCCTGGGTTGAGTTTCCCCCCTCCCCCTTTTTTCTCCAGTTTCTGATAGAAGCCCTCCAGGGGCCTCATCCGGCCCTTGGGCCGCATGATTGACACCCCTGCCTTAAAGACGAACAGAATATGTGGCAGAGGATGTGCTTTCGTGAGTCACGGCTCACTGCGAGCCGTGCCTCACGAAAGCTCCTCCCCTGCCACGTATTTTGTTCACCTTTAAGGTGCTGCTGGACTCTTGCTCTTTCCTGCTGCTACGAACAGACTAACACGGCGTCCTTTATCACCAGTGTGTTCAGAACCTCTACAGCACACAAGAGGACGAGTCCTGCCCCAAGAGACTCGACAGCAGAGAGACAACCAGGGCAGCGCAGTGGTTAAGAGTGGCCAACTAGGACTGGGGGGATCCGAGTTCAAGTCTTCCCTCCGCCATGTAACTCGCTAGGCCACCTTGGACTAGGGTTGCCAACCTCCAGGTGGGGTCTGGAGTCCTCCTACAATTACAACTGGTCTCCCGACTGCAGAGCATCACTTTCACGGAGTGCCCACGAGTCCTTGTATTGTGAGAAAGGGAGAAAAGCGCCTCTTTCTCGACCTGCTCTGTCCCATGCATAATCTTATAAACCTTGATCACGTCACCCCTCAGTCGTCGTTTCTCCAAGCTAAAGAGCCCCAAGCGCCTTAACCTTTCCTCATAGGGAAACAGAGAACAAAGCCCGGTTTCAGTCGCAGGAATCTCCAGTTAAAAGATTCTCAGGCAGATGTCAAAGACGCCCACTCGGCGGAGACAGTGCCAGGGTAGAGGGGCCCGCCAGGTCTGGTTCACAGTAAGGCGGTTTCACATGAAGCAACAGAGAGCCCCGCCCTCTGCAATAACAGGCATCTGTTGTTCCTAGGATGGAAAGAGAGGAGGAAGGGACTCGGGTGGTTTTTGCATCGCCATGCAAAGCCGGAAAAGTGTATTTGCATGGAGCGGGGCTTGCACAGCAACAGCCGTTTGCCACCGGTACCACGAACACGAAGCCACCTTAGACTGAATCAGACCGTTGGTCCATCACGGAGAGTGTTGTCTACACAGACGGGCAGCCGCTCTCCAGGGTCTCGGGCAGAAAAGGGCCCTTCCCCTCACCTGCCGCCTGGTCCTTTTCAACTGGACGTGCCGGGGTTCGAACCTGGGACCTTCTGCATGCCGAGCAGATGCTCTGCCTCTGAGCCACGGCCCCTCCCATAAAATCGGAGCCACGTGAAAACCAGCGGAAAATCGGCCTACATCTCAAAGCCTCCTGAAAGCTCGGAGCTCAGCTTCCTCCAAAAACGGTCAAGTGAAGGGGACATATGGTTGCCAGCCTCCAGGTGGGGCCTGGAGATCTCCCGGAATTTCAACTGATCTCCAGATGCAATGCTCCCTCTAAGATGTGGAGTCCGGTGAGCATAAACTCTACTTGGTGGGCTGCTGGCATTAAAGTTGTGAGCGAGCAACTTGGCTGCTGCATAAATCAGTTTGCTCTGGAGCAGTGTTCCCTCTAAGCTGAGTTAGTGTGAGCCAGCTCACAGTTTTTTAGCCTCCGGCTCACACATTTTTGTCTTCTCTCAGGAAGGAGGGCCCCAGAGCAAACTAAGTTATTCAGCAGCCAATTCACCCGCTCACAACTTTAATGCCGGTAGCTCACAAAGTAGAATTTTTGCTCACAGGACTCCACGGCTTAGAGGGAACATTGCTCTGGAGCCATCCCTTCCTGAGCGGAGACCAAAATGTGTGAGCCGGAGGCTAAAAAACTGTGAGCCAGCTCACGCTAACTCAGCTTAGAGGGAACACTCCTCCAGAGTACGGAGATCAGATCCGCTGGGGAAAATGGCTGATGTGGTATTATACCCCACCAAGCCCCCTCCCCTCCCCAAACCCCTCCCTCCTCAGACGCCACCCTGAAATCTCCGGGAATTTCCCAACTTGGAGTTGGCAACTGTGGCCGCAGCCTATTTCAGTCAGAGTAGTTCAAATGTGCTGCCAGTTAGTTTTCTTCTGCTTATTTCATAAGTTCATTCCAGAATGAGTCAACACCAAGAAACGGAACAAAGAACAGAACTCCGTTTTCTCTCTCCTCACACACACAACTAGGGCCGTTCTGTCAAGAGAATTCAAGCGGGGTGGCTCCGGCGTTGCGGCCTGGCCTCGGCAAAAACCACAAGCCCGGCTGAACGCTTTAAAAGCGCACGCACGCAAATAACACACCCCTCGCGTCCAGGGGAATCGCCATGGCACCCTCCTTCCGAAAACACAGTGCCACTGTTCATTAAGGCGCAGCGCAAACAGAGTCCCAAGTTTTCACACGCCCGTGAAGGGATCTATTTCTGAGTTTTCTCTTCCCCAGTTGTAAGAGCGTTTATTTGCCGAATATTATCACTTGCGTGTAAATAATGGAAGGTTTCGGCTTTAACAAATCACAGGCATGAAGCAGGCTTATACTGAATCCGGCCTTTTGGCCCATCGAGGTCAATATTGTCTACTCGGAGTGGCAGCGGCTATACAGGGTCACGGGCGGAGACCTTTCACATCACCCACTCCCTGGTAATTTTCAGCTGGAGATGCCAGGGATTGAACCTGGGACTTTCCTCATGCCAAGGAGAGGCTCTTCCACTGAGCCATGGACCCGCCACTAAGGCATGAAAGTGTCTTATACGGAACCAGACCACGGCCCCATCTAATTCTGGGACATCTCCAGCCACCATCCGGAGACTTACGCAAAAGGAGAACACGGAAATAAGGAGAAAATCCAAGATATTAAAAAGTCCATGTATAACCCCTAAATGGCTAGATTTAATGATGATATATTAATATCATAATATGTAAATGGCCTGTAACCACGACATAGTGCATAAATCAATACTTCATAGATACGACGTAATAAATACCCCATAGGTAAAGGTAAAGGTTCCCTTGCTCGAAAACCAGTCGAATCTGACTCTAGGGTTACGGTGCTAATCTCCGTTTCAAAGCCAAAGAGCCAGCGCTGTCCAAAGACGTTTCCATGGTCATGTGGCCGGCATGACTAAACACCAAGGCGCACGGAACGCTGTTACCTTCCCACCGAAGCGGTACCTATTTATCTACTTGCAATTTCTTGCTTTCGAACTGCTAGGTTGGCAGGAGCTGGAACTAGAGATGGGAGCTCACTCCATCACGCGGCACACTCGGGTCTCGAACTGCTGAACTACCGACCTTCCACAGCCTGCAGTTCAGCATCTTAACCACTTGAGCCACCGCAGTTCCTAAATACCCCATACAAAGTGTCTAAATCATCTACAAAGCCCTTGCCAAATTATTTATGGTTTTATGAAAAGCACAATCCCCGGGCTATAGTCTCTAGAGCAGCTGTAAATAATACATGCGTGTTGGATTCCAGATGATGCATGCGACTCCTTTCAGCGGTCTTTGCCAGATTCCACGGCTTGCAATACAATGTGATCATGCTAGACCTGTTGGATTCCAAATAATGACTGTGGCTCCTTTAAGCAGTCCTTCCCAATATATCATTATTAAATCTAGTCATTTATGGGTCGTTAGTTATTCACATGGACTTTTTTATATCTTGGATTTTCACCACCTGGAAAACAGCGGCAACCCTGTTTTGAAGCTATGTTTCCCTGCCACCACCCTTATTTAGTTCCCCGTTCTGCCCAATCGGTGCGTAGATCCAAGCGCCTTTCGACACAAACACCCACGTAGCAATTAATCGGAACATGACTCATCAGAGCCATGCATTGTGGGTACAAACAGGAGAGACCATCTCATTGAACTACCAGCGTGCTTCAACAGTCTTTACACCGCGCTCTATTCTCTTGGTTGCAAGCACGGCCGATAAATCAGCCAAAGTTACTAGTCCACAGGAGTTTCTGTATGTGCCTGCCCCACACGTACCCATGTTGCTGTGTTTTTTATATATATATTTTCATTTTAAATCTTATAAGGGTCTATACAATTTAATTGTTGGGGAAAATATACATAGATATTTTGAACTCCCTGTTTGAACTGCTGCCTTCG